CTCAAATGATCGCACGTGTGCTGACTGCCCTCAACGTAGCCCTGCTAGGTCCCCCACATTTATATGTCAAGTGTTTCTATGAGTGCTTGTCCCGCTTTGATACCATCTGTCACGGACTTAGTTGATTTTGCCTAAATCGTGCGGTACCCTTGTGTGTCAGTCCGCAAAGGTCAGCCTCCCGGAAACCTCAAAGGTCTCTTAGGACCTACAAAAGAGAAAATAGGTTAGAGAAAGCGCCTCACTCGAGATCCACAAGTAAACATTTTCGAAAACACCTCATAGACAATGCAAATTATAAACAGACTTTACAAGCTCTAAACGGTTGCACAACAAAGGATCAAAATGGTCCACTACAGATCGAATATCTCTCACAAGTGTCCACATGACATAACATTTATTTACAAGCCTAAGAAGGCCACCAAACCCAACTAAAATGGGACTGTTAAGTCTTCGACCATTCCTCTACACGTTGTGCAAAGCATGAACAAACAGAAAGACATGGACATACATAAGTATTACATCAAACATCCTGTTCAGAACTTTACCCGTGATAGACTGTCAGAAGTTCTAACCTATGAACCGTGAGGTTCCTCCTATTTATAGAGGTGCATATAGCTTAACCCTTAATAGATCGTATCCTTATTAGATATTGGATCTCTATCCGATTACTTAATTTTATTATATCTGGATCCAAACGAGGGGCTTTATAGATCTCTAATATATGTACCTCTACTTGTTGCAACATCTATCACATGTGTATGACCCTCTAGGCTCGATATTGAGTTGGCCGTGAGTTGCTTCTGTCATAACTCCTTCTAACTTAGAACTTCTTCTGATATAGTAAACTATTATGGTTATTATCTCCAATAATAATTCACTTGACTCATCAACTATGGACATATTAAGACACTATGTCATAGTCCCCAAACGGTACAAAGGATCTAATCCATTGGACTTATCTGTCCTTAGTTATCATGTATCTATAGCCCTTGTTCATCTAATATCCCAGATACTATATATTAGGTATGGTAACGTTAGTCCCATATGGAATCCTGTCCGAGTCTCGCTCTAATCAGATTCTCCAAAAGAACTTCTTCTCTTTCAATCCGAACCACTTTGGCCAGGATTTTGTCTAAGCGTGCATACATAAAATATTCCTCTGATGATACTAAGAGCGGATGATCATCTGTTAATACTCAATTACCTTCATAAGGTTAGCTATTATTCTCGAGAACCGATCATACCAGATTTGGAACTTTCAAACTTGTAAGTCTTATTGGGAAATTTAGGATGATATCACATGTGTAATAGAAAAATAGAAAACAAAAATCTTAGAATTTCCCACAGAAAATAGTTTATTGTTATTGTGCGAAGATTAGTGTGTAAAAGCCCACAAAAATGAAAACTACGTGTATAGAAAAGATGTGTTACCTAGGAAGATTGTATATCCCTGAAAACCTATAGATCTGTGGGAGAGGATGAAGGATGTCAAATGTTCTTCTCTCTAGTAGTGATCCACATAGTAGGGGCTGTGAAGACCCTCCTTAAATCGATGTTCAAATCTCCTCATTACATGCACCACGCAATCAAGAAGGGGCCATGCCTTCTTGCTGTCCATACGCCCCAAACAAGGGCTACTATCTGAGGAGGAGAGAGTGAGAAGAATAAAAATGACAATTAAAAAGGGTATGGCCTATGACCCTTTTGTTTCCTCCTATTTATAGAGGTTCTTTATCAACTTAGCCATAATAGATCATACTTTATTGGGTACTAGATCTTCATCTAACTACCCAAGTATATTATATTAATGGATCTCTACCCAATAATCTCTAATTGACTTTTATTGGATATCATCTATAGGATCCAATAACTTAGGGGCTTCTTGGATATCTAATAAGATAATGGCTCCAACGGATATCTCATATTCGAACCTCTACTCGTCGCAACACCTACCATATGTGTATGACCCTCTAGGCCCACTATCAAGCTAGTAATGAGTCATACTTGACATAACTCTTTCTGGCTTAGTGAATTATTATCTTCATAATAATTTACTTGACTCATCGGCTGCAAACATATTATACCACTACATCGTAGTCCCCAGATGATATAGGGGAATCCAATCCATTGGACATGTCTATCCTTAGTTATCATGTATCTAGTCTCTTATCTATTTAATATCTCAAATATCGTATATCGGCCATGGTGCTATTAGACCCATACGATTTCTACTCGAGTCTCGTTCTAATCAGATTGTCTTGAAGAACTCTTTCTCTCTTAATCTGAATAACCTTGGCCAGGGTATTTGTTTGAGCAAAAACATATGAGATATTTCTCTCATGACACCAAGAGTGTATGATCCTCTTTCGATACTTAATAACCATCATAAGGTTTGCTATCACTCTCGATGATCGGTTATGCTAGATCTAGAACTTCCAAGTCTATTAATCTGGTATCAAAGAGTGAAGTACTCATATGTGACATATTCAATGTCTTAAGTCTAAGGAATAGATACACAATGATGGAATCGTTGTATGACAATGAGGTATCATCAACCATTCAGCATTCCGTAAGCGGATCAATCAGTGAACTCATTATCCAATGAACACTTGCACGGTATCCCTAGTGTCCCCACACGATTGATTATAAGACCAACTGTCTCTATCATATGGATGAGTATACGACACACCAGTCAATCTGGTCATCTTGATGTCTCTCTCAAATGACCTATGACCGAGATTATTTAGGGTTTATGTTTAAAGATAAATTAGTCTCATTATTGTGATATCATCATGATCCGATTCTCATTGCACAGATCCGTGGACATCACGGTACATACAATAGGTAATATAAAGTAAGAAAAATATCAAATAAATAATAAGCAAAAAGAGTGGGTATCATGTTACATATGTCATCACTCACGTGATTGGCTTGTAGAGCACCTATGACTCCTCCCACTTGACCTAAAGCTAATCACATATATGTCTAATCCCTATTAGATCCATATGACGCTCAAAGATAATTTGAGACACTAGTTTTGTCAGTAGATGTGCGATGTTATCTTCAGATGAAACTCTTTTCACTACTACATCTCCTCAGGCTATAATCTCTTTGATCAGGTGGAACCTCTTTAGAACGTGCTTAGAATTCTAATGAGACTTGAGTACATTTGCGTGAGCAATCGCTCCATTGTTGTCGCAATATAAGAGAATCAACTCTTCACTGCTCGACATAACTCTCAAATCTGTGATGAACTTCATCCAAACTCCATTCTTTGTTGCCTTTGTCGTAGTAATGTACTCTTTCTTTATGGTCGAGTTAGTAGTAATATTTTGCTTGGAACTCTTCTAGCATATTGCTCCTCCATTCAGGGTGAACACATATCCTAAATTAGACTTGTTATCATCGATATCAGATTGGAAACTCTAATGTGTGTTGCCCTTAACTCTAAGGCCACTTTCTCGATAGACGAGTAAAAGATTTTTAATCTTTCTCAAATACTTAAGAATACAATTTACTGCTTTCTAATGCTCTAAGTTTGGATCCATCTGATACCTGCTCGTGATACTTAGAGCATGTACCATAACAAGCCTGGTATAAAGCATATCATAGATAATAAACCATATCATTGAGGCATAAAGTATCCTATTCATGTTTGCCCTTTCTTTAGGAGTCTTTAAGGACATATTCCTAGAAAATGATATCTCATGTCTCATTGGTACGAGACATCTATTGAAACTTTTTATACCAAACCTTTTGACAATGGTGTCTACGTACCTAGACTGGGACAAACTAAGCATTATCTTGGATCTATCTCTATAGATCTGAATCCTTATGATATAAGATGTTTCCTTTAAATCCTTCGTAGAGAAGTCTTTATATAGCTAAGCCTTTATTATGGAGAACATTCCTATATCATTATCAATGATCAGGATGTCATCCACATACAACACCAAAAAAGTGATAATGCTCCCACTTATCTTTCTATACATATAAGGCTCATCTTCGTTCTTAAAGAAGTCATAAGATTTGATAGTCTCATTAAATCTTATGTTCTAAACTTTGAAATGCTTGTTTTAGTCCATAGATGAATCTAAGCAATCTGCATATTTTATCCGGATTTTTTTTTAGATATGAATCTTTTAGGTTGTATCATATATACCTTTTCCTCGAGGTTGCCATTGAAGAACATGATTTTTACATACATCTGTCATATCTCATAATCATAGTATACTATAATAACCAATAGAATTCGGATGAATTTTAGTATGGCTACGAGTACTACGTAATAAGATAGCAAACCAACCCTAGACACTACCTCCAAAAGCCTATTCAATCATGTGCCACCCAGGTAACTCTATGTATTATACTAGCTGTCACTTCACACTAGTCTAGATGATTTGTTTCTAGATAATTTTACTTCTACATAATAGCGGTATACAATCTACATTTATAAACCTAAAACGATTATAAAACCCAACCGTAAGCTGTATGCAAAGCATGCATAAAATACAAACACCTGTTTAAAGTTTTCTAATGTGATAGTATAATGATAAAATACTATTTCATTCAAAAATACTATAATAATATTTTTTTAAAAAAATAGAAAAAATAGAGGACACTATATGAAAAAATATCAAAATGTGAGGTTTCCTTGAAATGGCTTAAATAAAAAAATATTATTAAATTAAAAAAGCGGTGTAGTAAATGGTAAAATTGTAATTTCCCGCTGTTGACTTTTCAAAGGAATCTGCTTGCGCTTATCGTAAAAAAAAAAAAACACAGATTCGCGGCCTTATTATTATATTGAAAAATCTATTGCCCTGTGGGCCTCACACCAAACAGCGGCAGCCGCCTGCTCTGCGCATTCCCGCATTGTCGATCCCGTGCGGTACGATACGATCCACTCGCGCACGAATCTTAACATGCTATGATCCGTCCTCCGTGTGCGCTGCGGCGCATGGAATACGACACGAGGGAAACCCACCGTTGTCTCTCCCTCTCCGCCTCGGCTGTTCTCATTCTTTGCCATCCCCCAAAGCTATTCCTTCAACGCCAGATGCGTACCTTTAACCGTCCGATCCCTCATTGCCCGACCCAATCCATCCCATCTTTCCTGGCGGCGGCTGTGGCAACCGTGAGGAGAACACTTTGAGCAGAGGCAGGGGGGAGGTTCCCGCCGTAATAGGACGAGCGGCGGAGCAGATGTGGGGGTCGGGGCTGAACCTGGTGACGACGGTGATCGGGTTCGGGATGAGCGCCACCTTCATCGTGTTCGTGTGCACACGCCTCCTCTGCAGCCGCATCCGCTCCACCGACTCCCGCGCCACCCCCTTGGACATCGAGCTCCGCTCCGACGTCGGCCAGGTGAGGCGCCGTCCCGTCGCCCGGCCTCGTGGTTTGCTCACTCTAATTGCTTCGAAACTGAAACGTGCCATTTAAAACGATTCATTTTTGGTACAACTACCAGCTTAGCTTTGTCAAGAACTCTGCTTATAGCAAAGCGGAAGAAATTACCGCGACAAGTGAACATAAGTTGTTTGAAATATTCTTCCTAAGAAGAAGACTTGGATACTAGATTCACATGAAGATCGACTTTGTTATAAACATACGCATGGGCGATTTTTACCTTACCAAACTCTAAAGTTGAAATTTTAGCTGAATCCTGTGCATTTTAAGGATCAGAGAAAGGTTCTTTTCTGTCTAATTCTAAGAAACAATTTACTGGATTGAACAGAGCAGAAACAATTGCTTTTAATAGAGAAAAAAATGAAGTTTTTGTTATTTGTTATTAGGTTATGAAATTTTAATTATTCCATTAAATACATTGTAGAATCGTTGAATTCATGTTAAAGATGCTGCGTGGATTTGTGACTTTGTTGTGCTTGCAACTTTGAAATAGGTGTTCTGCAACAAAAACAGGGCTTTTTTTACCTTTAAGGGGTGGAATCTGCCAAATGGGCTAGCTAGCTTGGCTAGTAAGGATTTTATCGTCTCACTGTAAGGTCACAGAATAAAAAAAAGAGGAGTACACTCGGCCAAGCAGAAGTCTTTATCAGTAGGCCCGTACTTGGAGCTGGAGGTCAATGGTATCACATGTTGTTGGGGATGTTAGTGGTACCTAATTATCTCTCTTCTTCTATACACTATTCTTTTTTTGAGCAAATTTGCAGTCACATGACATTCATAAACTTCATCTTTCTTTGCTTTCTGGTAACTTATATAGGTGAGTATGGCTTAAAGATACAGCAAATGTCATTTTAGGATATCAAATAAGTTTGTGGTCACTTCGATATTTTGCAAAGAAAATAAGTAATAACATTTGTATTGATGACTCATTAAGCTAAAATTTGTCTCTTCTTGACATGGAAACCTTTCCTGCAAGTACACATCAATTTGTGTCATAATTTTGTGTTTTTTGAGGATGACTATGCTTTTAATTAAAGAATTTTGATATTACCCAAACCAAATCTACATATTTGTTCTTACTATGATAGAATTTTTTTGTCATTTTCATTAATTAAATGAATTGACACTATTTGACCATTGAGAGATTAATTTGCTAACAGCCTGAGCACTCAATCGGTGGCTTGGAACCTGTTCTTGTTGATGCTATTCCTACAATGAAGTACAAGCTGGAAGCTTTTTCTTCCAGAGAAGATAACCAGTAAGTCTCCTTCCAAATGTTGATTTCCTTTATGCAGACACTCTTGATCTGCCTTAACACATTATTATATCACCTTAACCAAATTATTCATGACAAATTCCTCAATCTGAGGCCTTGCTCACACTCCTAGTGATTTAATTATGTTTACTTCATATAATCTTGTAATGCTTCAATGAGTCTATTTCTGATGAAAAACTGGACATATGTTTGGTTTGATGGATTTTAGTGGAAAACATATGGAGAATTTCTTGCCATGACCTCTCACTGTTGGTTGATGGGATTATCTCAAAGCTGAAATCTATTTGCAATGTTACTGGCATAAAATCTACATTGACTTTCCTTATCATAATATTCTCAGTTTTGTTATCCATCACAAGCTTGGTTGTCTCTCTCTTGTGGGTAAACTTTTTAATGCTTCATTCCCACTCCTCTTATTGCCAAGTCTTGTATTGGCTACTAAAACAATTCGCTGCAAAATCCATCAAGCATATCTTACTTCACTTTATCATCATCTCAACAAAAGCAATATATATTTTGTTCAGTCATGTATTATCTTTTTGCTTCACCAGGTGCTCAATTTGCTTAGGTGAATATGAGGAAAAAGAGATTCTGCGGATCATGCCATCCTGTCATCATAATTTCCATCTAGCTTGTATAGACGTCTGGCTGCAGAAACAGACTACTTGTCCGATTTGCCGATTGCCATTAAATGAGTCTCTCGAAGCAAAATCTGCTGCATCCCCCTTATTTGACGACCAAATGGATGGCAGTCACGAGGTTTCTGGCGATCAGTACAACCAATGGATACTTCCTAGTGGGCATCATGCAGAACGCATGGAGATCACTCAGGAGATCCATGAACCTGAATATGTAGTAGTTGGAGTTTCATATCATGAAGGTCGAGAAGCTAGAACATAGTTGAAAAGCAAATCAAAAACCACATTCTTGAAGCTCAGTGCTTGTTCATGAACAATCTCAAACTTCATTATGTTTTTCATCTACGGAGACAGCAGATGGGTTCCATGTGGCTAATGTGACCCTGTAGCTGAATCGTTCTGTAAAGCAAAATGCTGAGGCTCATCCAAGAATCGTAAACGGGATATTTCTTGGTCTTCACGTCTACGCATTCATTTTTCTATGAAGGGGGACATAACAAAGTGCAGATGAGTATCTGTGCAGTCTGTAAAGTTTGTACTTTGGGCTATGTGCAATTCATTGAAATTCTTTGCGATCATTGTTTGTTTTATGTGATTTCAATATCATGTTATATATTGTGCATACTGAGAACTGCTTTGAATACATATATATGTATATATAGGTATATATGTATGTATGTATATATGTATATATATATATATACATATATACAAATATATATACACGTATATATATGTGTATATATATGTATGTATATATATGTATATATATATATATGTATGTATATATATATATGTATATATATATATATATATATATATATATATATATATATATATATATATATATAT